CCATAGCCATTTTTTTAGTTTGCCATTCACAGATAAGTTTTACCTTACTGATTCACTGAAAACACAACAACAATGGACTACGATATATCAGACTTATAAAAAGCATAAAACCAAACCCATTGCCATCGAATTGATTCCAACTCATAGTGACACTATAGGACAGAGTATAACTGCCCCCTAGGGTCTCCAAGGAGTAGCTGGTGGATTTGAACTGCTGACCTTTTCGTTAGCAGGTGAGCAGTTAACCACTGTGCCACCAGGGCTCCCAGACTCATAAAGAGGACTATAATATATTGAACATGGATACAATTAAACTAAGTTAATATTTTTAGAGCTCTTATGTAGAAACTAACAGGTTTTTCAAGTTTCTGCTAATACACAATAACATAAAACCAAAATTAACTACACGGGACTGAGTAAACTAATTACTATAAGATTTATATGAGAATATTACTAATATATAATGTTCTATTCTCTAGATATAAAAACCATTTTTTCCTTCTTTCCTTTTTTTAATGTATGAATTGGCTATTTCAGGAAATAATAACACTGTACTGGTTACAGAATATCCTACGAATTAAAAGATGTTATGGCTCATGTCAAAGTTCTGATTAAATATATTCAGAAATGCCACAGACTCCAGGGAATAAATACTATAATGACTATGGTGAAGAAGTAATTCTTCAAAACCAAATGGCCTTCCCTTATGTTACTTGGAGCCCTGTGGCATAAGAACTCTGCTGCTAACCAAAAGGTCAGCAGTTCAAATCCACCAGCCACTCCTTTGAAACCCTATGGGGCAGTTCTACTCTGTCCTATTGGAGCGCTATGAGTCAGAATCAACTCAAAGACAATGGGTTATGTTACTTATACCAACTCTAATATTGTTAAATATTATCAGTTTTAATCCAATACTTTGTTTTCACAGGTTAAAAGAGCCTTTGATGACCAAAAACCAAAATCTCAAAATCTTCCTGATATTGTTCCAGGGGACAGTGTATATTAGAAAAGACCTCAGCTAAAAAGTTCCCTGGAACCTCATTGAAAAGAACCGTATGTAGTTCTCCTCACTAATCCTTATGCCACTAAATTACAGCGAGTTAAGAACTGGATTCATCTGCCCCAACTAAAAAAGACTGCAGCTTCTACCTGGACTGTCCAACCAACTAAACGACTCAGACTAAAATTCAGCCACCCCAGTACACAAAAACAGACATTTATGACAGAAGCAAACAGCTCTGCCCAAGATCACAGAAAAGACTTAGGCAAGTAGCTGAGATGTCTGGACTATATAATCTTTGCTTTCCTGTTTATGTTGATTATCCTTCACCAAGTTGGTATTGTCCCCTGGTAAGGTATGTTGTATGGAAACCCCTGAAGTAATTGCTCTTCGTTTAATACTTATAACTTTTAAAGTGCCATTATTTTATCAACTGAGATTTATAAATTGGTAATTCGCCACCTGTTACTTTCTCATTTACATCCACCCCTTTCTTTCTCATGCATATGCAGGCTGTTGAAGTCGTTAGACTTTTGTTACTACTGGTGTGGGTGATCCTTATAAAATTACATTTACATTACCTTATCTCTATGTTGGTAAATTTCCCTCCATGGTATTAATTCTTTATGTTCCCAATAGATATGATTGCCACTGCCTAACACTTATAACCTTTGATGGTGCCTTATTTTATAAGTTAAGATTCATAAATTGGTAATTTTGAACTAATTGTTTTCATGCTAAAACTATTATATAATATTATATTAATCATCATTATTTTACTGATTATAATAGTCACTATTTTCCTATTAGTAATTGTATATATACCTTTAAATAAAAGAGAAATTTATTTGTAAATCACTATTATTTTTATGATCTTTGCATTACTATATTATTTTTGGTTAATATTTTTATATTATGGAACTTTTCTCAAGTTCCCTATAACCACCATTAATACATAGCATAAAAATGCCTTTATTAAAATAACCCAGTTGGTAACTAGTACCAGTAACCTGTCTAACCACTGGATTTGCATTAAATTCCAAAATCTGGCCTCACGAATTCAGATCCATTAATTTCTCTCATATTAAATTATAATTTTGTCCCCATTGCTACCGTCAACTTTAATATCGCTGTTAGGTGAACCATACGTGTGAGACTGTGGCAACCCCCTAGGTTATTAACTCAACTCCAGTTCCCACGTTTCAGTCTAACTCAAATTAGAGTTAAGGATTGTTCTAAAGTAACTTGAAACTCTTCAGACTGTAAAAATGAGCACTTAATTTCATATAATGCCCCTCCCAGATTTTGGAAAGGAGCTTTTACAGGAAATTTAACAGCATGCCTATAGGGAAAAAAGGCTTTTGTTTTCAAATGTAGAACTGGCTAAACTTTAGATGATTGCCTATTTATAACATCTCCTTGACAGAAAATTGTCCTGAACAAATAAAACATCCCTCTCCCAAATAATCACACTTGAACTGACAAAATATGTGCCCCATATAGATAGATACATATTTTTATGTAGGGGATCAAGACACCCAACCAACTGCCAATCCAAATCCAAACGACGAGTTCCATACCTGGGCTTTATCCTATTTAAATAATTAGAATATGAGAGGCCAATGTACATTAGGTCTTTTAGGAGTCCCTCTAAATTTCCATTCCTATGATAAAAACATATATTGGACCAATAATGTGAACATCTTCAGTCATCACAAAAGAAAATATGTTACAGAATCTAATGAGAACCCTATAATGGACAGACCCAGAGAAAAATGGACATTCCTTTGAGGACTTCTGCCCCATATTGGTATCCCTGAATTTGAAAAATCTATTCACAGTGTATCTACTATTATGCTCCAAATAACAGATAAGCTCACTAATAGTATAAATGCCCAACAGAAGTCCCTAAAATCTTTAGTTAAAGTCATACTGGATAAGAGAATTTCCCTTGATTTTCTTCTAACCCAACAAGGAGAAGTCTGTGCAGCTGCCAATACCTCCTACTGGACTTGAATAAATACTTCAACAGAAGTAAAACAAAATATCAGACAAGTGTGCCAAAAGGCCACTTGGCTTCAAGTACCCCCCATGTCAAACTCCACTTTTCTAAATATTTTCAGCTAGCTACCCTCAGGGATTGGATCATAGATCAGATTTCTATTATTAACTAGATTAATGATACTTATTGTTATTGTAATTATTATCAGAACTATCAAATACTATATAAAAGTTACCTCCAATGTTTTAACCCAGAAAACCAACCTTTTACCCATTTAAAAAACTATTTTCCAGATGAGGTTAAGCTTACTCTCTACACCAGTTCCCTTGAGCGACCAAACAATTCCTTCTAATATAGCCCCGCTTCTCTCTCTTCCAAAAACATCACTAAAGAAAACGGCCAAAACTATGACATGGTGAAGCCCTCGAATAGTGCCCGGATACCAAAAATAGTAGTGCCTGGAGTATTAAAAGCTTATAATAAATAAGTGACCATCCAGAGACCCACCATGTCCATACAAAAAAAGACATTCTTTAAAGTGTAATCAAAGAATTTCCCTAAAAATCATTGATCAAAACGAGGGAATGAGAGAGAGAACCCCAAAATTATACGAAGCATCCGGTATTAGTAGAGGACCCTGGCCCAGGCCTGAAAACATCCTCATTTTAAAGTAGCAGTTTTTCTCTCTTGTGCTTAACTTTTAGTCACCCTTAAAAATATATACTGAAGGAAATATTTTTCTCTATGGTCAAGCAGAAGCAGGATGCAACAGCCTGTTCCCAGCGGGTCTTGACACACAGCATTATCAAATCTCTTTTACAATGGATCTCCAGAAAAGACATGCTTGAAAAAGCAGTTTAATAGTAAGTTCCCAGAAAAGCATGTCCTGTCATTGTCCTATGATCCTCCATGTACCTCCGCAACCTGCAACTACTCCTGCAAACTAAGATAAGGCACCAATCACTGAAGTCCATCTGTGTTATCCCCCAATCACTGACAAGCCCCCACTTTGAGAAAGCCCACCTCTAACTTCCCTGGTTGACTGAAAACAGAATATTGTAATCCTCATTGTTTGCCAACCTATATACATGTTTGTGTGATTATCATGCCTCAGACCTCACAGTTTAATTTTCATGAGCTGTGTAGCTGCCAGTTCGAAATGATTTTTAACCCTTAATAAATCTCTATACTTTATTTCCATCAGACCACTCATAGTCTGATGGAAATAAAGTATGGATTATACCTTAAGATAAAACAAAAACCTAACAACTGGACCAATAAGCAACATCATGATAAACGGAGAAAGGATTTCATTTGACTTGGATCCATAATCAATGCTCAAGGAAGCAGCAGTTAAGAAATAAAACGATGCATTGCACTGGGCAAATCTGCTGCAAAAGACTTCTTTAAAGTGTTAAAAAAGCAAAGCTGTCACTCTGAGGACTAAGCTGTGCCTGACCCAAGCCATGGTATTTTCAATCGTCTCATACGCATGTGAAAGCTGGACAATGTATAAGGAAGACCGAAGAAGAATTGATGCCTTTGAATTGTGGTGTTGGCAAAGAATATCGAATACACCGTGGACTGCCAGAAGAACGAACGACTCTGGTTTGGAAGAAGTAAAGCCAGAATGCTCCTTAGAAGGAAGAATGGCAAGACTTTGTCTCACATAGTCTGAACATATTATCAGGAGGGACCGGTCCCTGGAGAAGGACATCGTGCTTGGTAGAGGGTCAGCGAAAGAGAGGAAGACCCTCAATGAGATGGAATGACACAGTAGCTGCAACAATGGGCTCAAGCATAGCAATGATTGTGAGGATGACACAGGACCAGGCAGTGTTTCATTCTGTTGTACACAGGGTCACTATGAATCAGGACTGACTCAACGGCACCTAACAACAAGTTTTCTTACCATCAACACATCTAAGTTACATATATGCCCTTTAAATGTAAAGACAACAAATATGATAAAAAGAACAATAAAACAGTATACTTTACCTTGTAAACTGTCCTAATAAACTAGGATTTATTGTATTCTGATAAAGGCTATAAGAAGATATAAATTCTGATCCAAGCGATCCTTCTTGTGATGTCAGTATTTTATTTGGCTTTGCTGTAACCGTATATGGATCTGGATGGTAAAGAGGTCGGGGAGTCACATCTACTCCATTTATATCAATCACCTGTAGAAAATGGTTATTTAAAATGAAATAAAAATAAATATGGTAGAAAGGAGATAAATATATTCCCAGGATAGAATACAAAAAATTGAATGACATAAGATTTTATGCTTAAAATGTTTCTTAACTACGCGTATTTTTTTTAAGTCTTATTCATGTTTCAGCTGTACAAAAGTAATATATATTCATTAATATACATTTATTTCAGGAAAATTCAGAAAGGTAGAATGGTAATTAATCTAAAATATTAATATTTTGGTGCATTTAATTTTGTATGTATAAGCTTTAAAATAGTTATCACTTAACATTAGTAAATATTTCCCAAGTTATGGCATGTCTTTGGTGTATTTAATTTTGGCTTATTTTTAACCCTTTCAATTATGAAATTTAACACACACGGAAATATAATTAAAATAATCCTATACTTCAATGGTATAAAGTCAATGTTCTTATTAACCACCACTAAAGTAAAAAATTAGAATATTGATAGCAACTCCAGCAGCCACTCTCTGGCCTTTGCCCCTTTTGATCACAGCTTTTTCTCTCCCCAGTGGTACCCACCAACTTGACTTTGGTAATCATTTCCTTTTTTCTTTTTTATAGTTTTATCAAATATGCATCCCTAAACAAGTTTCATTTGTAAAAACATGTATTGAAGTAAAATGTACATGCAGATAGTGCACATATCATGTACAGCTTGATAAATTTTTACAAACTGAACACACCTAAGTACTCAACATCCAAATTTAGAAACAGAACATCAGCAGCATCCCAGAAGTTCCCTTCATGAGAGTCACTACCTATTTCCCACCAAAGGTAAGAAGTGTAACATCATGGATTAGTTTTCCCTGGTTTTGAACTTTATTTAAATGGAATCATACATGTGTAATCTTTGGTATCTGGTTTCTTTTTCTCAGCATTATCTGTGTGAGATTCATCCACATTAAGTGTAGTTGCACAGTATTCAACTGTATGAATGTACCTCATTTTTATTTATCTGTTTTACTATTATTGATGGAGGCCCTGGGTGGTGCAAATGGTTAAATGCTCTTGGCTGCTAGCCAAAACATTGGAGGTTCAAGTCCACCCAACGATGCCTCGGAAGAAAGGCCTGGCAATCTACTTCTCAAACACCAGCCATTGAAAACTCTACAGAGCACAGATCTACTCTGACACACATGGAGTTACCAGGAATTGGAATCAACTCAGTGGGAAGTATTTGTTTTACTATTGATAGGAATTTCTATACTTTCCAATTTTTTTTTTTGGTTGTTATAAATAGTGCTGCTATGAATATTGCTGTATGTGTGTTTTGCTGAATATCTCGCATGTATTTATGTTGAGTGTATACCTAACAGTGTAATTTCTGGGTAATGGATTATGCATATGTTCACCTTTAGCAGATAACTGGTGAAGATTTTTCCCAAGTGGTTCCCAGTAGTGTATGAGAGCTATGGTTGCTCCCCATTTTTGCCAACACATGGTATTTTCCATGTGTGTCCACGTAATTAAGTTTTGGCTATTTTTGAAATATATATTCCTTCATCCCTGGCATTTTTGGTTCAATAATGTTTTTATACTTTTCCATGTTGTTTGCATGCACAGTAGTTCATTTATTTGTGGTTGTAAGTAGCATATTTTATTTATACATTTTACTTTTACTGGACATTTTCATTATTTCCAGTTTGGGGCTATCATGAATATTGCTACAAATTATACACAAGTATACCCAAGCAACATCACGATAAATGGAGAAAATACTGAAGTTGTTAAGGATTTCATTTGACAAGGATCCACAATCAATGCCCATGGAAAGAGCAGTCAAGAAATCAAACAACGTATTGCATTGGGCAAATCTGCTGCAAATGAGTTCTTTAAAGTGTTGAAAAGCAAAGATGTCACTTTAAGGACTAAGGTGTGTCTGACCCAAGCCACGGTATTCTCAATCACTTCATATGCATGTGAAAGCTGGACAACGAATAAAGAAGAAGAATTGATGCCTTTGAATTATGGTTTTCATGAAGACTATTGAATATACCATAGACTGCCAGAAGAAGGAATAAATCTGTCTTGGAAGTAGTATAGCCAAAATACTCCTTAGAAGCAAGGATGGTGAGACTTTGTCTCACATACTTTGGACATGTTATCAGGAGGAATCAGTCCCTGGAGAAGGACATCATGCTTGGTAGAGAGTCAGTGAATAAGACAAAGACCTTCTATGAGATGGACTGACACAGTTGCTGCAACAATGGGCTCAAACATAGCAACATTTGTTAGGATGGCATAGGACTGGGCAGTGTTTTGTTCTGTTGTACACAGGGTTGATGGCACCTAACAACATGCTGGTGTACATAAGCATACATTTCTATAGGGGTGTATAGATGTAGAATTGATGGATCAACTTGATTAGATAACACCAAACTGTTTACCAAAATGATTATTAAAAATCTCCATGACCACTAGCAGTGTGTTGTTGCTTCATATTCTCATCAACTAGCACTGTCAGATTTATAAATTTAAGCCAGTCTGGTACAGGTGTAGTGGCATCTCATTTTAATTTCCATAAAGTTGAACTCCTTTTCATATACTTATTCCCCATTCTTATTTTCGTTTCTTGGTGGGTGGATTCCCCATTCAAGTCCTTTGCACATTTTTCTATTGGGGTCTGTCTTTTTCCTGTTGATAATGTAATTAATTAAATATTCTGAATATAAAAATGAATTTTATGTGTTGCAAATATCTTCTTTCACTGTCTTTGTTTTCTTTATAGTGTCTTTTGACAAATAAAAGTTCTATGTAGTCAAATCTATCATCTCTTCCTTAACAGTTAGTGCTTTCGATGTCTAATTTAAGAAACCATTCCCAATCCTGAAGTCATATTCTTCTATACTGAATTATCTTCTATGGAAGTTTATTATATTGCTTTTCATGTTTAGGTCTTTAATATACCTGGAGTTGAGTTTTGTGTATAGTATGAGGAAAAGAGAATCCTGTATGTTTTCATTACATATGGATACCCAATAATCTCAACATCATTTTTGAAAAATCTTGTCCTTTCCCATTTACTCTGCAGGGCACACTGTTATAAACCAACTGCTTATATGTGCCTGGGTCATTGGTAGGCTGTCTGTCTACCCATTGGCTAGTACTATACCTTTTACTAACTTAAAATCTGTAAGAGCAAGTCCTTCCATTATGTTTTTATTGAAGAGTGTCTTGACTATTCTTTAGCATTTTCTTATCAATTTTAGGATTACCTCGACAAGTTCCTAAAAACAATATAATGAAAAAAATCTGTTGGAATTTTGACCGAAATTGGAAAGAATCTATAAATCAAAATTTGGGAAGAACTGATATGCTTGCAATAGTGAGTCTTTCTATGCATTAACATTTATTTGGTTTTTCTTAAATGATTCTCAACAAAATTTTAGTTTTAAAAATAAGTACTTGATACATTTTAACGCTATTTTAAATGGCATTTTAAAAATGTGTAATTTTGAACTACATTTTGTTGGTGTATTAACATACAATTTCTTTTTGTTTTTTGATTTGATATCTGATAACCTTGCTAAACTCTTTCATTAATTTGATAATCAGTAGGTGATTTTGGATTTTATATGTAGACAACAGAATCACCCACAAATATTAAAAGTTTTGTTTCTTCCTTTCTAATTCTTATACCATTTCTTTTTCTGGCCTTACTGAACTGGAAGACTTCCAAGAATGTTGAACAGAAATAGCAATGGTACATATCCTTATGTTCTTTAAATACTTCACCATTAACTATGATCACTGCTGTAGATTTTTGAAGATACCCTATCTGAGTCATCTAGTGCTGCTATAACAGAAATACCACAAGCGGATGGCTTTAACAAAGAGAAGTTTATTTCCTCATAGTAAAGTAGGCCAAATGTCCAAATTCCAGGCATCAGCTCCAGGGGAAGGCTTTCTGTTGGCCTTGTCATCAATCTTCCCTTGGACTAGGAAGCTTCTCAGCACAGAGACCCCGGGTCCAAAAAAAGCACTCTGCTCCTGGCACTGCTTTCTTAGTGGTATGAGGTCCCCAACTCTCTGCTTGCTTCCCTTTCCTTTTACCTCTTGTAACATAAAAGGTGGTGCAGGCCACACCCTAGGGAAATTCTCTTTATATCTGATCAGGGATGTAACCTTAATAAGGGTGTTACAATCCCTCCCTAATCCTCTTTAACATAAAATTACAATCCCAAAATGGAGGACAACCACACAATACTGGGAATCATGGCCCAGCCAAATTGATACACACATTTTTTGGGGGACATAATTCAATCCATGACATACCCTAAATCAGATTAAGGAAGTTCCTTTTGATTCCCAGTTTGCTAAGAAGTTCTTAATCTTATCAAATACTTCCTGTATATATTTAGATGATCATATGCTCTTTTTCCTTAAAGGTGTTAGATGTTGTGAATTACCCTGATGGATTTTTTAATGTTAAACCAATCTTGATTTCTTGGTATAAATCCAACTTCCTCCTGATATATTGTTCTTTTATTGTTACTAAATTTTATTCACTAATTTTTAATTGATGAGTTCTCCATCTGTTTCCAAGTGAAACACACTTCTAATCTTTCTTTCTCACTGTTTTAGTCAGGTTTGGGTATCAAGGTTATGCTACCACAAACAAAAAAATCACCTTAAACCACTTGCCATCTAGTTGTTTCCAACTCATTGCAACCCAATGTGTGCCACAGAACTGTGCTCTGTAGGATTTTCAGTGGCTGATTTTTTCAGAAGCAGATTGCCAGGCCTTTCTCCCAAGATGCCTATGGGTAGACTCTAACCTCCAATCTCTTGGTTAGCAGCCAAGTGCTTTAACTGTCTGCACCACGCAGGGACCTCATTAAATGAGTTTTAGAGTACACCTGCTGTCTGTGTTCAGTTTTCATCCATGTATGTTTGGCATATATCTCTAGGGAAACCATCTGGGACTAGAGTTATCTTTGAGGGATGGTTTTCACTCATAT